ATGGGAATTTTCTCAGGGGAAGTTGGCATCATTGCTGTGCAGCAGGAAGTGAGCAGAAACGAATGAGCAATGCCAGTTGTTAGTAGCTCATCAACTGGCATTGTGGTGAAAGTTAGAAATGGGAGTCCTCATTCCATTTCTCTTCTGTCTGTGTCCTTCATGACAATGCACATCCTCACACTGCTCATGCAACACAAGAGTTGTTGACTTTGTTTGGTTGGGATGTTTTATGCTATCGCTCTCACAGCCCCAATCCCGCATGCAGTCACTATCACCTGTTTACTAAAATGAAGGAACACCTGGGTGGAAAACACTTTCACCACCACAATGAGGTGAAAATTGAAGTGATGAACTGGCTGAAAAAGGCAGCGGGAGACTTCTATGACACAGGCATAAAATAACTTGTCGCACAGATGACAAATGTATTGAACTAGATGGTGATTATGTGGAAAAAGAATGTATCACCTATTCTATAATCCATGTAACTTTTATTAAAATATATTCTTTTTTTTTGTATTTTTTAAAAAATCTTGTAACCTTACTTTCTGGATATCCCTTGTAGTTCAAAGATTGACAGCCAGGCTACTAACTGGAGTGCTATACAGTGAGAAGACGGCTCTCATGTTGGCTGCAGCTCCACTGGCTGCTGATCTGCTTCCAGGCTAAATTCAAAGTGCTGGTCATTACCTATAAAGCCCTAAATGGTTTTAGGCCCAGACCTCTCAGCATACAAACCACCACAAGCACTGTGATCCACGGAGGAGGCCCTTCTCTCAGTCCCACCCTCATCTCAAGCATGGCTGGTGGGAGTGAAAGAGGGGGGCCTTCTCAGTGATTGCTCCCCTTCTCTGGAACTCCATCCAGAAAGAACTGAAAACTGCCCCTTCCCTCCTCTCCTTTAAGAAGCTGTCAAAACTAATTTATGTATTCAAGCATATGGGGAGGAGAAGGATGAGCACTTTGCTTACATTTTGACTCAGCTAATGGAGACTTACCTCAGCCCGGGTGGCCTATTGCTAATTGTATGACATGTTTTAAAGGTGTTAATTATCTATGACTATTATTGGAGTCATTAGAGAAATGTGTCCCAATTATTTTATCCTATATATTTAAATTGCTCACATGTTACTTTGTGTTGTTTTATAAGTACATCCTGGTGTTATCTATTTGATTGTTTATTATTTGAAGTGTTAACCCTCTGGTGATGCAGCAGATTAAACCACTAAACTTGCTGACCTAAAGGTTGGTGGTTCAAATCCAGGGAATGAGGTGAGCTCCTGCTGTTAGGCCCAGCTTCTGCCAACCTAGTGGTTCGAAAACATACAAATGTAGATCAGTAAGTACTTCCCGAGTGGGAAGGTAATAGTGCTCCATGCAGTCATGCTGGTCACATAACCTAGGAGGTGTCTACAGACAATGCCGGCTCTTCGGCTTAGAAATGGAAATGAGCACGACTTCCCAGAGTGGGACATGACTAGACTTAATGTCAGGCGAAACCTTTACTTTCCCCTGTAATGGATGTTTGTCGATTTTTGTTGTGCACTCCTCCTGAGTCCCTTTTGGGAGATAGGACAGAATAGAAATAAAGTATTATTATTATTATTATTATTATTATTATTATTATTATTATTATTTTAACTCAATGAACAAGATCTGGATACCAGTATTGAAAAACTCTAAAATCAGGACAGTAAATAAAGAACAACACTCTGAAAACAGGGGAAATCCAGATAGGAAACAATCAGGGCCAGATAACACCTCCCAACAAAGGATTCCCCATAGGCAGGATTCAGCCAGGCCTTGAAACTGCAAGGCTTTGCAATGCTAATCAAGGTGATTAATTGCAACATTCATACATGCCTCCAACAGACAAGAGTTCTTTCTCCCACTCTGGAACTCCCACAGATATATAAACCTCCCTTGCTTAGTTTTCAATATACCTCACAACCTCTGAACATGCCTGCCATAGATGTCAGGAGAAAATGCTTCTGGAACATGGCCATACATCCCAGAAGACCTGCAGCAGTCCAGTGATTCCGGCTGTGAAAGTCTTTACTTTAATCCTCTTCACCATCAGGTTTATTGTTCTGTGGCACATCATCCATTGCGAAAAGGGTGCATCTGCTCTGTAGAATTAATGCAGTTTGATGCTATGTCAGGCATGGGCAAACTTTGGCCCTCCAGGTGTTTTGGACTTCAACTCCCACAATTCCTAACAGCCTGTTAGAAATTGTGGGAGTTGAAGTCCAAAACACCTGGAGGGCCAAAGTTTGCCCATGCCTGCTCTATACTATGGACTCGTGGGATTTGTAGTTTGGCCAGGCTCTAAATAATATAATAATAATCATGCAGTCATACAGCCTGGAAAACTCACAGTTTAAGGTCGTTCTTACACTTGGGGCACTTCTAAACCCGTAAGAAGGAGAGAGAGAAAGAGAGAAGCCAGTCTATCCTTTTTGTTTCAATGGCCAATTGAAACATTCACACCTACCTCCAACACCTTCTTTCTCCCACCCTGGGCATTCCACAGACATACAAATCCCATTTTCCTAGTTTCCAACAGGTCTCACAACCTCTGAGGATGCCTGCCATAGATGCAGGAGAAACGTCAGGAACTGAACCACCTCAGCTGGGCTCTCCAGGCCAATGGATACTCCACCTCAGACATCAGAAGAGCTGCAAGACCAAGAACAAGCCACGAGAGTAAAGATGAAGATCCACCCAGAGGAAAAGTGTTCTTGCCATACATCAAGGGAACCACTGACCACATAGGGAAGCTGATGAGGAAACACAACATACAAACTATCTACAGACCCACCAAGAAAATCCAACAAATGCTACGTTCAGCAAAGGACAAGAGGGATCCTCTCACTCTGCAGGAGTCTACCATATACATGCATTGTGGACAAGTCTACATAGGGACCACCAAACTGCAGCATTGACCATGCAGCTGTGGACAAGTCTACATAGGGACCACCAAATGCAGCATTTCCCAAACACGAATCAAGGAACATGAAAAGCACTGCAGACTAATCCAGCCAGAGAAGTTAGGCATAGCAGAGCACCAGATGAACCAACCTGGACACAGTATATTATTTGAGAACACAGAAATGCAGGACCACTCTAACAACTACCATGTCAGGCTACACAGAGAAGCCATTGAAATCCACAAGCATGTGGACAATTTCAACAGAAAGGAAGAAACCATGAAAATAAACAAAATCTGGGTACCAGTATTAAAAAACTCAAAAATTACAACAGCAAAACAACAGAGAGTAAACAATCAGGCACATCAAATCACCTCTCAAAGAAAGATTTCCCCAGGCACTTCCAAGCCATTAAGGAGCCCCTGGTGGCACAGTGGGTTAAAGCCCTGTGCCGGCAGGACTGAAGACCGACAGGTCGCAGGTTCGAATCTGGGGAGAGTTGGATGAGCTCCCTCTATCAGCTCCAGCTCCTCATGCGGGGACATGAGAGAAGCCTCCCACAAGGATGATAAAAACATCAAATCATCCGGGCATCCCCTGGGCAACATCCTTGCAAACAGCCAATTCTCTCACACCAGAAGCGACTTGCAGTTTCTCAAGTCGCTCCTGACACGACCAAAACTGCTAGGCCATCAAATGCTAATCAAGCTGGTCAGTTGAAACATTCACACCTAGCTCCAGCAGACAAGAGTCCTTTGTCCCACCCTGGTCATTTCACAGATATATAGACCCACTTTCCTAGTTCCAATAGACCTCACTACCTCTGAGGATGCTTGCCATAGATGCAGGCAAAACGTCAGGAGAGAATGCCTCTAGAACAGTGGTTCTCAACCTTCCTAATGCCGTGACCCCTTAATACAGTCCCTCATGTTGTGGTGACCCCCAACCATAATATTGTTTTCATTGCTACTTCATAACAGTCATTTTACTACTGTTATAAATCATAATGTAAATATCTGATATGCAGGATGCATTTTCATTCACTGGACCAAACTGGGCACAAATACCCAATACACCCAAATGTGAATGCTAGGGGGGTTGGGGGAGGATTGATTTTGTAATTTGGGAGTTGTAGTTGCTGGGATTTATAGTTTAACTTATAATCAAAGAGCATTCTGAACTCCACCAGCGATGGATTTGAACCAAACTTGGCTCCCATGACCAATGGAAAACACTGGAAGTGTTTGATGGCCACTGACCTTGAGTTTGGCAGTTGTAGTACACCTATCTACAGAGACACTAGCTGGAACACCTCAGCAAGTGCGAGTCCAAAAGTGGCAGGCTCAACACCAGAAGCACTCCAAGTGGCCAGCTACTGGTCAAAGGACATTTAATCAACTACCAAACTCACAAATTTTGTATTCTGCCTGTTTGTTTGCTTTGTTCTGATAGAAATGTAATATAATTGACTGGTTGCCCTGACACGACAAATAAATAGTTCACCTATATCCAGAGAGAACACAGCATGCGATGTGCGGGGCTTGATGAATGCAAAGCTGGGGTGAAAATTGCTGGAAGAAACATTAACAACCTCAGATATGCAGATGACACCACTCTGATGGCCGAAAGCGAGGAGGAGCTGAGGAGCCTTCTAATCCAAGGTGAAAGAAGAAAGCGCAAAAGCTGGGTTGCAGTTAAACATAAAAAAACCAAGATTATGGCAACAAGATTGATTGACAACTGGAAAATAGAGGAAGAAAATGTGGAGGCCGTGACAGACTTTGTATTTCTAGGTGCAAAGATTACTGCAGATGCAGACTGTGGCCAGGAAATCAGAAGACGCTTACTTCTTGGGAGGAGAGCAATGTCCAGCCTCGATAAAATAGTAAAGAGTAGAGACATCAGACTGGCAACAAAGATCCGCCTAGTCAAAGCCATGGTATTCCCTGTAGTCACCTACGGATGTGAGAGCTGGACCTTAGGGAAGGCTGAGCGAAGGAAGATCGATGCTTTTGAGCTGTGGTGTTGGAGGAAAGTTCTGAGAGTGCCTTGGACTGCGAGAAGATCCAACCAGTCCATCCTCCAGGAAATAAAGCCCGGCTGCTCACTGGAGGGAAGGATACTGGAGACAAAGTTGAAGTACTTTGGCCACATCATGAGGAGACAGCAAAGCCTAGAGAAGACAATTATGCTGGGGAAAGTGGAAGGCAAAAGGAAGAGGGGCCGACCAAGGGCAAGATGGATGGATGGCATCCTTGAAGTGACTGGACTTGAAGGAGCTGGGGGTGGTGACGGCCAACAGGGAGCTCTGGCGTGGGCTGGTCCATTTGGGAGTTGTAGTCACTGGGATTCACATTTCACCTACAATCAAAGAGCATGGATCTGGACCAAACTTGGCACGAATACTCAATATGCCCAAATGTGAACACTGGTGGAGTCTGGGGAAAATAGATCTTGACATTTGGGAGTTGTAGTTGCTGGGATTTATAGTTCATTACAATCAAATAACATTCTGAACTCCACCAACGATAGAATTGGCTCAAACTTCCCACATGAAATCCCCATGACCATCAGAAAATACTGTGTTTTCTTATGGTCTTTGGCGACCCCTCTGACACCCCCTCGTGACCCCCTCAGTGGTCCCGACCCCCAGGTTGAGAAACACTGCTCTAGAACATGGCCATATAGCCTGAAAAAACCTACAACAACCCAACGTCAGGAGAGAATGCTTCTGGAACATGAACTCACACAGCAATGCTGTTCCTTTTCTTCCAAGGCCACCTAACCTGCCTGGAGGCAAGATACCAACCCTCTCTGGCCTCGCCTCCGCAGCCACACTTTCGGTGACCTCCTCCTCCTCCGAGGAAGAGGAGGGAAATATTTGCCTTTGCAAAAGGGGAAACGTCGCGATGGGTTTTGCAATGACCTTAAAAGGGGGCGGGGTTTGGGGGAGGGGCTTAGGCTGGGGAAGGGGGCGGAGCCGCAGAGGGAGAGAGGCAGGTGAGGCTGAGTCGGGGAAGGCGGCGAAGTAGTTGCGTTCTCCTCCTCGGCGGCGCGCAGGTGCCTCTCTTTGCTTTGCTCTCTTCTCCTTCCGAGGGGGTGAGGAGGGTCCCGATGGGAGCGGGCTCCGTCCTCGAGGAGAGGGCTTGAAGGGCGCGGGGCTGCCCGGGGCGAGGATGGCCCTGGAGCTGAGCCAAGCCGAGCTGCTGGACTTCCTGTGCCAGTCGGGCGGGCGAGTGGCCAACGCGGCGTTGGTGGCCCACTTCAGGCGCTTCCTGCGGGACCCCCAGGCCGGCCCCGAGGAGCTGCAGCGCCGCCGGGACCAGTTCAAGGGCTTCGTCAACTCCGTGGCCACCGTCAAGACCGAGGGGCCCGGCCCCGCCGCCAAGTACGTGGTGCTCAGGAAGCGGTACCGGGAGCTGGTGGGGGAAGAGGGCAAGGCGCCTCCCCCCTCCTCCTCCTCGCCTTCCTCCTCCCCAGCCTTGAAGCCCAGGGCAGTCCCGCCCGACCGTTGCCGCAGGGCTGCTGCTCTCCATCAGCAAGGAGGGGGGGAGCTCACCTGCAGAGCCTCCTCTGCACCGCTCAAGGGCTGCCAGGCCAACAAGGAGGGGCCTTTGCCCACCAGGCTGCTGCCCTGTGTTGACCCTCCAGCTCCTCAGCCATTCAGAGAGATCAATGGGGGCTTCCAAGAGGTTCCTCTGGGTCTCCGCGTCTCCAAAGGACTCCCCTTGCCCGTCAGGGGAATGGGACAAGGTGGCACCCAGCAAAGGATTCAGGACTGGGTGGCCACTCATCATTCTCCCACCGAAACCAACCCCTGCCCAACTCTGGAATCCACCACCTTCTCCGTCAGGGAAATGGGTGCTCCACCAAGCCAAGGTGGCCTCACCCAGCAAAGGATTCAGGACTCCGTAGCCACCCATCATTCTCCCACCGAAACCAACTCCTGCCCAATTCTGGACTCCACCGCCTTTCCCATCAGGGCAATGGGAGCTCCACCAAGCCAAGGTGGCCTCACCCAGCAAAGGATTCAGGACTGGGTGAAGACCCATCACTCTTCCATTGAAAACTACCCAACTCTGGACCCCACCACCTTCCCCATCAAGGAAATGGGAGCTCCACCAAGCCAAGGAGGCATCACCCAGCAAAGGATTCAGGACTGGGTGACGACCCATCACTCTCCCACTGAAACCAACCCCTGCCCAACTCTGGACCCCTCCGCCTTCCCCATCAAGGAAATGGGTGCTCCTCCAAGCCAAGGAGGCACCACCCAGCAAAGGATTCAGAACTGGGTGACGACCCATCATTCTCCCACTGAAACCAACCCCTGCCCGACTCTGGACTCCACTGCCTTCCCCATCAGGGAAATGGGTGCTCCACCAAGCCAGCAAAGGATTCAGGACTGGGTAGCCACTCATCACTCTCCCACTGAAACCAACTCCTGCCCGACTCTGGACCCCACAACCATCCCCACCAGGGAAAGTGGTGCTCCATCAAGCCAAGGTGGCATCACCCAACAAAGGATTCGGGACTGGATGGCTACACATTCTGACTCGGATAACGATTCCTGTCCAACTTCTGGACTTTCCGGACTCCATCGTGGCTCTCGAGACCCCCTGCCTGTCTTCCGCAGCATCCGGTGCCAACTCTCTCTGCAGGATCTGGAGGACTTCATTGAGAAGGGGAGCTCCGCCAGCGAAGAAGGCAGCAGTGCCAGTGGAGGGAGCGATTCCCACCGGGCAGAAGGGGATGCCGGCTTCAGTCTCCCACGTTTGGGAGTTCGGAGCAGGACAGAGGGCACTGGCAAAACTCAGCCAAAGGGGTTGAACACCAAACCGTACACCAATGGACCAAGAGGGATGCCACCTCCTGCCAAGCAGAATGGCACAATCCCCGGGCACCTTGTGTCGGTCCCTCAGGCCGCTGGCAGAGGCAACAAACTAAGGGGAAAAGAGGCTGAGCGGGCAAATACAGATTTGCCCAAAGCAAAAAAAGTAGCCAGGGCTCCTCCACCTCCAAATCTTGATGCCTCGCTTAGTCCACAACAGGTGTCAATGCAAAACCGTGCAGGTAGTAAACCAAATTTGGAAGGACTAGCCCCAGACACAGATGGGTCAACAGAGCACAGGTCCTCCATGGTACCGCTAGAGCCCCGAGAGCATGCTTGGTTGGTGAAGGTAGCCACAGGGTCCTGGATGCAAGCCCGGGCTCTTCTCCTCGAAGACCCCTATCTTGCCACCCGTAAGGACTTCATTTCAGGCTATACAGTGCTCCATTGGCTGGCCAAACACGGGAATGTCCAGGTGTTGCTGGATGTTGTCACCGGTGCCAAGAAAGCCGGAGTGCCTCTAGATGTGAACGTCAAGTCCGGCTGTGGCTACACACCATTGCACTTGGCGGCCATGCACGGACATCAGCTGGTCATCAAGGTCCTGGTGCAGAAGCTGCAGTGCCACGTCCAGGTGCGGGATGGCAGTGGTAAGAGGCCCTGGCAGTACCTGAGCAGTGCCACTTCGGGGGAAGTTTGGCAACTTTTGGGGGCACCTCGGGGCAAAACCATCTTCCCAGCCCGTCCTATTACCAGGCCTAACAACAACTCTCCGGCCAGAAAGGGCAAGAGTCCAGAGCTGGGCAGAAAAATTAGCCGAACTGCTTCCTTGGCAGCTTACTTGAAACCTCAACACATCAAGTGGAAAATGGGAAACAAATGCCCTCCTTTGCACGAGAGGGAGGAATACAGTGACTAAAACCGCTGGGATCTTTGCCGGACGTAGAATCAAAACTTGGGACCTTTTGTGGCCCACGTGCACTGTGTAGGATCTAGAAGAAAAAGCACTTTATTCCCCTTTTCCTTTATTTATTCCAGTTGGGTATAGTGTTTGGGCGAAACACTTATAATTTTAGATACTTCTGTCATAAGGAGTGCCTGGCTCATGGGGGCCTGTCAAGGCATCTACTGTTAAGTTTTGTTGATTTGGGAGTGTCGATGTCCCATAGATGTGAACCAAGCAATCCTCTTCCATTTCCAGGATGGTTTTGGACAAATTCATTCTGTTTCTTCCTAGGAAAGAAAACAAAATTGCCTTGTTTGGAAATCTGGTATTTGGAGAGCAAACAAGGGCTTGAATATCCCAAATCCATTTCAGTCCCCTGTTGGAATGGGTATGTCTCTATGCAAGAGGGTTTCTTTTTCTATTGTAAGTGATTTGGGAAAGAGGGATGGGAGGTTACTGCTTAAAAACCAGGATTATAACTCCCATTTAGGGAGTAAAGGTGGCCATATGTTCAAATACGGGGTGCCATGTACACTGTAATTTGCCAGATGCGATTATTTATCTGCTTTTCGAAACACCTGAGGGGAGGAAGATCTTGACAGACAGACAGAGGAATTTTAATTAACTGGAGAATTACCTCATTGCTGAGGAGTTTTAAAGTAATCTTAAAAAAGCAAACGGTTTTGCTATGGAGTGGGTGGGTTACAAGATGCTATCTCAGATCAAAGGAGTGAATGAACCGTACCCGTCTCCCACAACACAAGGCGAGACTTCACAGCAAATACCTGTGGAGCTTTTTTTCTATTTTTTTAAAGCCTGATAATAAATTGTATTGCTGCTAATATATCTCAGGGTTGTTCTCTGTGTTAAGTATGTGTTTTTGTTCCCTCTTGTTGCCTAAATAGCCATCTTTGGGTGCTTTTCTAAGGGCATGTATTTACATTCTAAACTTTTGAAATGAGGAATGTTTCAGCTTTTCTTCCTACAATCTCTGAGACATTACAGAGATGTTGCTGTGAGGTTTCCAGGCTGTCTGGCCATGTTCCAGAAACATTCTCTCCTGACTGGGTTGTTGTAGGTTTTTCAGGCTATATGGCCATGTTCTAGAAGCATTCTCTCCTGATGTTTCGCCTGCATCTATGGCAAGCATCCTCACAACCTCTGAGGATGCTTGCCATAGATGCAGGCGAAACATCAGGAGAGAATGCTTCTAGAACATGGCCATACAGCCCGAAAAACCTACAACAACCCAGTGATTACAGCCATGAAAGCCTTCAACAATACACGTTTCGCCTACATCTATGGCAGGCATCCCCCGAGGTTGAGGGGTCTGTTGTAAACTAAGTGAGTGAGGTTTATATATCTGTGGAATGTCCCAGGTGGGGGAAAGATATTTTGTCTGCTTGAGGCAAGTGTGAATGTTGCAAGTGACCACCTTGATTAGCATTTAATGGCCTATAGTTTCAAGGCCTGGCTGGTTACTGCCTGGGGGAATCTTTGTTGGGAGGTGTTAGCTGGCCCAAACAAGAATCAAGTAACAGACACTGCAGACTAATTCAGTCAGAGAAGTCACCTATAGCAGAACACCTGATGAACCAATCTGGGCACCGCATATTGTTCAAGAACACAGAAATGCTGGACCACTCTAACAACTATCATGTCAGACTACATGGAGAAGCCATTGAAATCCACAAGCATGTGGACAATTTCAACAGAAAGGAGAGAAACCATGAAAACAAATAAAATCTGGCTAGGACAGTAAATAGAACAACAGGGGAATTCCAGACAGGAAACAATAAGGGCCAGCTAACACCTCCCAACAAAGGATTCCCCTAGCAGCAACCAGCCAGGCCTTGAAACTGCAGGACATGAAATGCCAATCAAGGTGGCAAATTGCAACATTCACACTTGCCTCAAGCAGACAAGAGTTATTTTCCCCACCCTGGATATTTCACAGATATATAAACCCCACTTGCCTGGTTTCCAACAAACCTCACAACCTCTGAGGATGGCTGCCATAGATGTGGGTGAAACATCAGGAGAGAATGCTTCTGGAACATGGCCATACAGCCCAGAAAACACACAGCAACCCAGTGATTCTGGCCATGAAAGCCTTCGATAACACGTTACAGAGATGTCTGAGGGAGTGAACATGCTCTGTTTACTAAAATACTACCCAGAGCTTGGAAAAACACTTTTTGGACTACAGCTCCCAGGCTTCCACCTACATCAAGATGGTCAAACTGGAAGTTGTAGTCCAAGGAAGTGACTTTTCCAATACTGACCAAACTAGTTGAATGTTGGCATACTTTGACTGAATGGAGCATGCATCTATCAAACAAACACAGACATTGGTAGCCAAGGAAATTAGATAGCAGTGGGCCAGGTTCGAAAGAGAGAAGTTTGTCCCCTATCTTCTAGACGTCTTTTTGAGGAACACTCATGGAAAGAGCCATAATTCAGAGCACATGGATACTCTACAGCAGGATCCTCAAACTTTTTAAACAGAGGGCCAGGTCACAGTCCCTCAAACTGTTGGAGGGCCGGATTATAATTTAAAAAAAACACGAATGAATTCCTATGCACACTGCACATATCTTATTTGTAGTGCAAAAAACACTTTAAAACAATACAATAATTAAAGCAAAGAATAATTTTAACAAATATAAACTTATTAGTATTTCAATGGGAAGTGTGGGCCTGCTTTTGGCTGATGAGATAGGATTGTTGTTGTTGTTGTGGACTTTCAAGTCATTTCATACTTAGGTTGACACTGAGCAAGGGCTGGGTAAATGACCTTGGAGGGCCGTATCCAGCCCCCGGGCCTTAGTTTGAGGACTCCTGCTCTATAGAAAGTCCTTGGTGCAATCCATTACTTGTTTACGTTGGCTGTGGGAAAGTTTACAGGGCGAAGAACCACTTCATCAGCCTAGGCAATGCAAGATGTTGCAGCAGTCAGCTTCCATCCTGCCTTGGAGCGACATCCTGGTGCCAAAAAGCAAAAAACGGAAACCATTAGTGACTGTAAGTAATCTCTATTTCCCATAAAGCACCCAACCTGGGTGCTTTATGGGTCAGGCATGTAGCCGGGGGGGGGGGAGGGGGGGGGGGGGGGGGGGGGGGGGGGCTTGGGGCTTCAGCCCCCCTCCCAAATTCTCATGGTGGTCTGCGAGAAGGCCTTACTGGTGCATTATTTAAACTGTTATGTTTATTCATGTCATGATCTGATCACCATGCTCAATATATCCCATATGCATGGGGGTATTGGGGTAACAATATGAAAGGTTTGCTAGGGTAGACCCTCTTTCACTCAGACTCAGCCCCCCCCCCCAACCAAACTCAGCCCCCCCCCAAACAAAATCCTGGCTATGGGCCTGTTATGGGTCAAAACCAAGATGCATAATGATAGTGTACTTTGTTTGCTAGGATAACCTTGCTTCATGGAATATGTTTCTCCTTGTTTGTTTGTTTGTTTAATTAAAAATGGGGACATTATTGGAAAAGTCTCAATTCAGTCACCATTGGCTTCTTGGAAGAATTCAGGCTTCGATGGCTCTAGGAGGCAGCTTTGTTGTTGTTGTTAATCTGCTGTCAGATTGGCATTGACTTATGGTGAACCTATAAGTGCGAAATCACTAAGTCACCAGCCCTCTCAGGTTGCATATACTGTTTACCTCTCCTGTTGTAGGCAGTTACATTCGGCCAGAGTGGAACCCTCTTCTTTCCTATGTGGAGTTTTATTATATTGTTCAATACAGACATTCTGCTGCAACCTGACACTGAAAGTCTATGGCCTCATCTACACTGCCATATAATGCAGCTTCTGAATGCAGTTTAACTGCACTGAACTGCATTATATCCAGTCAGGGGTACTTTGATTGTGCTTTTCCTGCATGGCAGGGGGTTCGACTAGATGGCCTATGTGGTCTCTTCCAAATCTATTATTCTTTGATTCTGTGAATTAAACTGAATTCTGGAACTGCATTTATATGGCAGTATAAATGGGACCTATGTTTCTACAGTCCTCCTTCATCATTGTCTCAGCGGCACAATGGACTGGCAGGACTGATGACCGACAGGTCAGTGGTTTGAATCCAGGGAGAGTGGGCTGAGCTCCCTCTGTCAGCTCCAGCTCCCCATGTGGGGACATGAGGGAAGCCTCCCAACAAGGATGGTAAAACATCAAAACATCCGGGCATCCCCTGGGCAATGTCCTTGTAGATGGCCAACTCTCTCACATTAGAAGCAACTTGCAGTTTCCCAAGTCGCTTCTGACACACCCACACAAAATAGTCTCAGTGCTGATGCTGCTAAAAAGATTTAAGCTAAACAAAGAATGAGAAAAGGAGAACTGGGGAGCATGTAAGGAAGAGTTGCTTTTCCAGAGCCTCTGTTAACTGAGCTGTGGCTGTAATATTTGGGTTGCTTTAAGCTATATAGTATGCCAGTGGGATAGAAATGTTTTAGTTAATTATACCACAAACAACAACAATGTTCTACCCCATTCCTTTATTCAGTAAATATTCATAATAATACAACAATATGCAATATTGCATGCACCTGATAACCCTAAATGCATGAGATCCTGTCTGATCTTGGCTGCTAAGCAGGGTGGACCCTGGTTAGTACTTGGATGGGAGACCACAATTTACTGTCAGGTGTTGTAGTCTCTATTTCAGAGGAAGGAACTGTCAGAATCACCTCTGTGAATTCCTTTCCTAAGGATATCCATGGGGTCACCATAAATTACCAGGGGAATTGAAGACACATATACACAGAGAAACTAATAACATTTTGCACTCACAATGCAGTTGAGTTCAAAGACATGGCTGTGCTAGACTGGGACGTCAGAGAGAGAGAATGAAAATTGTAATGTAGGCTTTTATAGACTTAGATCTACTTTCTCAATGCTTTAAAGTGTTCCAAGTTGCCTTGCATACACAGTTTCAGTGATCCTTGCATCAACCTTGTTGTGTAGGCTTGTTACTGCATCTGTTCTGTGGATGGGTTCACAGCTGAGACACGTATGCCTTGGCTAAGCAAGTTCTCATGACACCAGGCACATGAGTCACAACTGGGTTGCTCAACAAAGCAAGGTGAGCAACCATGTAGGAACAACCTTAACTCTTTGGGTTCCCATTACCATCATCCATCGTATCAACAATCTCTAGCTTTCTCCCAATTTCCTGGCTGAGTTGGGAGAAATGACCCAGAGATTGCAAGGGGAAGTGTATGCAAGAAAAAGGATTAATCTTCTCTTTGCTGCACGTCCAGGCTATAAATAGGAATCTCGCCCCAATCCCCGCCTTGTTCTTATAGGGTCTGTGGCATCTAGCTGCGACCTAAGCTGTTTGTAGCTGTGAGATCTAAAGCAGGGATTTCCTGACAGAAGCTGTGACAAAGCTGGTACGAGCCTCTTCTGTTCCCAGCAAACCTGGAATGGTGAACGTGGTGCTTTTCCAGATGTTGTTGAACTGTGAGTCCCATTTGGTTTAGCCAGCCTGGCGAATTGCAATAAGAGGATGGAGATTATGGTCTAAAACTATAGAGCCATCTGCCCCCATCCTTGCACAAATTAATAAATAAAATGGCATGTAAATAGTCTTGTTTGGCCTAGTCTGACTTCAAATAAGGATGCACAATAATATTCAGTTTCTTATTTGCTGCTCATTTTCTGCTTCCACCCAGCCATAGTAACTGGGGCTGCCATCTAAACACATATGTAAAGGAATAAGGGTGCATCTACATCAGTGTTTCTCAATCTTCCTGATGCTAAGGCCCCTTAATACAGTTCCTCATGTTGTGGTGACCCCCAACCATAACATTATTTCGTTGCTACTTC